TTTTTTTTTTTGCTTCACCTGGATGAAGTTCCAAACGCTGTGGCCAGAGCCTGTAATGCACCGCTCATCAGAATGAACGGATTCTTCCGCGTGAAGGCGAAGTAGATGAGGGGCAGGGTGATGAAGCAGTGGATCATCAGACCGCTGACCACCGTGATGGTGTACATGACAACTTCATGTCCTATTTTCCTGACATCTGTCATCTTCACAACCTGCCCAGCCACCAGGAACAGCATCCCCACTGGTGTGAACCTGCCAATGCAACTCCATTTTAAATCAGTGCAGTTTCCCCACTGTTGCATAATTTCAAACCCAATTTCCCCTTATTTGATGCAACTGTGTGGAAACTGTCGTTGTTCCAAACCAACCAGATGACAATGCTGACCAGGCGCATGATAGCTTTATTCAGGCAGTCAAAGAAGTCCCTCAGAGGTTTGCCCTCAGCCTCCATGCTGCCCAGGATGGAGCCGAAGAACACGGAGAAGACCAACAGACCCAGGGTGTTTATTCCGTTGGCTGTGCCTGCCATCGGCACAGTGACGTCTGAAAGACCCAGCAACAACCACACGCGTCATACACATATGTTAAGGAACTGGTAAACATGGTGTTAGACCATTAAACTGATAACTCACGTTCTCCGCTGGTCACGTTGGTCCCTGCAGGAGCAGCAGACTCGAAATACACTGTTTTATACTGCAGTAAAATCAAATCAAAAATATATAATGTTAAGGAATAAAGAGTTCATATTTAAACATAGCCATCGGCTCTGGAGTTCCTACCTTTCTGAAACAAGCTTCAACCAGGTTTGAGGGGATCATATTTCTGTAGAATTTGTAAAATAATAATAATAATAATAACTTGTCAGAGTTAAATATCCAGTTGAATTTTATCTCTCATTGTTACAGTACGAACCTGATCAAGTCTAAAAAGGCATCAGCGCTCTCCACCGGCTGTCCCGCCACACCAGAGGAGGTGGAGGTGATACTGGATGATTTCCCCGGCTGAATGCTTACAGTCATGATAATGCCGGTGGTGCCGGCTATCAGTGAGGTTAGCATATAATAGCAGAAGGCCCGTAGTCCAATCCTACCGCAGGCCTTGGCGTCCACGGACGACATCCCTGATGATGAGAAAATACAGTGGAAACTGCAGTGAATGGGCGTGAAGTATAACTTTGTTACATTAATGCTGGTGAATAAATGATATATTAACTCTTTACATTTCATCATCAAGCATTCATTTGTATAATAGATTTTGAAATCAGGAAAGTTGAGGAAATACGTTGCACAGATAAACCTCTGACTGTGTCTGAATAAAGTCATTAAGATGAAGTAAGAACAGATGTCACCCTTCACAGGAATGTTAAGAATGTAATAATTATCAGTCACATCAAAGACTTTTTTTCCATCTCCTCTGGCTGAAAACACAATGTGTCCCATTGACTCTAACCATCATCATGTGAAGATGAGCACGAGGGTCATCCATGAGAGCGTTAAAGTCTGATTTAAATGGACTGTAAGGCCTTGTTTACGAAAACACAACGGGAATAACAAATGAACATGCAGTACTTTAGACTTCCTGTGTGAGAAACAGGAGGATTCAAGTTAAAGTACCACACTGAATGACCTCAGAGTACTTCAATAATACTCTCAGGGATGCAGTTAGATAAGGACACGTGTCTGTAAAACACAGGGGTTTTTTCCCTCTGGATTAATAAAAACATAAAACACTTAGTTTCCTGCAACTCAAAACATCCTTGAAAGTTTTAAATTTCACCATGGTGGAAATGAACTGCTCACCTGATATAAGACTGGAAACAATCAGAGGAAGCACCACCATCTGGAGGACTCTCAGCAGCAGCTCCCCAGGAAAGGTTAAATAGTGAATGTCTCTGGCTGAGAGTTGGGCAAATCTCAGGGCACTGCCCAGAGCCATGCCTTCAACATACACCAGCACAGCGTGAGAGAAAGAAAAGAAAAGAACAACAACAAACCCCAAAAAGTTGTTCAACTTCTAGACTCACCCAAGGCCACACCGACTACCGTCAGGATGACAAAGGCATTTCTCCTGAGGAAAACCACAACTTTTGATCCAGTTTGAGATGAAGATCTTGGACTCGCCGTCTTGTCCAACTCAGACAGTTCTTGAAAGCTTTGCTGCTTCTCCTCCATATTCCGTGAAATCAGGCAGTCAGTAGGAAAACAAAAATCTCTGACGTCCTCGAAGGCAGAAGTCTGGTTTAGATGCAGAAACAAATTACACAACTTTACAAACTTGACGTAATGGCAGTTGAAAAGTACTGCGCTACAGGGAAGAAATGTTTTCAGATGATAAACACTACCAGAGAAAACTCCGAGGGTTGTTTTTTTTCTCCTCTCAGTTGCAGAAGCTTTCGTCGACTGAGGGTAAGAGGAGTTTTCCTGCAAACCAATAAAACCCATTCAGAACGTGAGAATAGTGACAGAAAATTCACCATGACGACAAATGAACAAGGGAGGTATTGTTTGTATCTGGGGGGTTGAGCAGGCCCCCCATTTAAAAGTGAATGAACTTCTGGAACCACTACGTGCAGCAAGGACACGAAATGAGAAAAATAGGAAATAAAACTTTGATACCTTTAAAAAGTGTTAAAAACTTAAATCTTTATTATACTTTGCTAATTAATAATGATTTCTAAAACCTGCCTAACTTTATTCAAATGTACTTCTTAGTTAGTTTACACAATTATAACATATGAACATCTAGTAACCAGGTTTACTCCAAGACCATGATGCACTTCTGTGTGATGCATGAGTGACATCCACGGACATGAAGCAGGCTTACAGGACGGCTTTGGAGGGGGTTATTTACTCAGCGCTCAAATTAGCCAGAGAAGAGGATTATGGTGTGTGTGCAATAACTGGTCAGGGCTCAGTTAAAGGAAGCCACCATTAAACCCATCTCCTCCGCAGTGGACTTTAAAAGAATAATTATTTAATCACATTACAAAATGATGTGATTGGTCAGGGCGAGGGCTCTGTCTGTGATGACGATAACGAAGACACAAACAGGCCTGTCAAAACAAACAAAGGAGGGATGGATTTTTTTTTTGTTCTGATTTAAATTAAACCATGAATGGATTTTCATAGTTTTTATTTTTGTTCTGATTTAAATTAAACCATGTGGACATGCAACAGCTGTTGTATTTCCATCATTAGGGATTGCCAAACACACACAGACACACACACTTCTCATTGATGAAATCCATTCCCTAGCCCCTCCCCCTAACCATTACAAATGTATACCTTATTGTCTCTCAGCCACAGTGGAGTTTGTTTGTCTCTACGATCTTTATCTAAACCGTGAACTTCCTGTGGAAAAGTTTTCATCTTCACAGATGCTGTAGTTATACTCGCTTTGTGGGAAACACAAACATGTTATTGTCTCCTCGACTCGACCACTGGTCTGAAAGTGTATCTGAAGGAGGAACTCACAGACGCCAGTGTTAACTGTAAATGTGTTCCACGCTGCAGCTCCCTGTGCAGCTAATCTGATTAAAACTGAGTCAGGGCCCAGACAGACCACACAAATCTATTCCTGCACACGCTGCGGTGTTTGGTGTGTACACTGTAATGTGCTGCAGTAATAATGACATGGAGCCTGTTACTGATGATGACATCACCACAGAGCAGGAGCTGGGAGTGAGGTGAAAGAATTTTATCTGATGCAGTACAGTACAACGCCCATCCATCCATCCATCCATCCATCCATCCATCCATCCATCCATCTAAAGTGCAACAGATTCCTTGTCCTGGCTAAAAGAAACATTATCCATGTTGTCATAAACTTTTTAAAACTTTTACGACAGCTTTTGAAAAAACTAACATACTTTTGTCATGTATTATTATTATTATTATTATTATTATATTTCCTCTTTTGTGGTGTTATTCATCTAACACCGACCTCCGAGATTCATTCCCTGACATTCCAGAACCAACAGTAGCGTCATTTACCCTTTAGCCTTTTCTTTGCCCCCCTTTCCTTCGCCCCTTGCTGCACACCTTCCCTCTTCTCCCCCGTGTAAGCTGACACAGCGCCTTCCACCATTAGCCGCTTTCTTCCTAATAGGATGGAAGGGACTTATAATGTCATCTGATAAAACTAAGGAGCTTGATAGCTATGTTGCACCTTCTTAACCAATTTGTGCTCAATTAGGATAATGGAGAAATGAGCAAAGAGGGAAAGCTTTAATATATTAATGTGATGAAATGATAATCATTTCATTATAACATCCGTGTCCAATGAAATGACACGATATCAGGAGCAAAGCTTGGTGACAGTTGCTGTGGCTGAAGAAAGAATTAAATAATGAAATGAATTTCATTCAAAATAATATTACAGCAGAGAAGTGGAAGCTGGAGTTGATGGAAATGCTAATGTAATAACAAATCATTTTTTAATTGGACCCAATGATGTTGTAGAAGCTGAATTACACATGAGCCACTGACTTCATGATGAGTGCAATTAGAAAATAATGGTTCATGACAACATGCAATATCACAAATATAAATGCAAAATAAATGTTGTAACATGACAATACACTGCTTCTTCTATATTATTGGTGATTGGTAGCGAGTCACATGATTATTCACCTGTTGCTTTCATTAGTTTGAGAGAGAGGAAGAGAGGAGTGCTTTTTTGTTGACCACTAATTTCAGTTGGTATTTGTTGATCACTGGGATTACTTAAAATAAGTACAGTGAGTTATGATTGACTATTAGCAAAGTTTGCCTGTCACAGGTAAGTGTAATGGGCTTTGTGGTCTCTGGTTTCCTGGAAAACAACCTTGACAACCTGACAAGGTGCACGGCCAAAGCCACTTAACCCAGAGCCATTCTGCTTATAGAAAGCACGGGCGACGCAGCCATATGGCTTTAAACTAGTTAGCCTTTCCACCTCCTCAGCTGCTTAGACATATGTCATGCGTATGAAAGGTGTACAGTTAAATCTGCCGTACTGCTGAACATCCAGGAACACTCCTGCAGACACTGATCACTCAAATCCATATTTCATTTATTCTGCCAAAAGGTTAAAACAATAAAAATAAAACTCCGCTCCAAAGAATTATGTCTGAAACTTTTTTTTCTCTTGTTGCATACATGCAACTGATTTTTCCCAATGGATTTTGTACTTGGCTTGCAAAAAAATTTACTAAATATATTTCCAGAGAGGCGGAGTGAGGTCAGAGGAAATCTCTGGTCAAGTCGTTAGGCTCATTAAGGACAGGATTGATCTCTGCAACACTTGTAGCACAGCTGCCAAAGTGTTGCTGCTGCTAAGTCGCAAAGTAGAATCCAGGACGCATCGTCCACCCCCACTCCCCCACTCCCCCAATCCCTCACTCACCCCCCAAAACTAGCTGACTTTAAACAACGTAACGAGGTGCAACAGGTTTATTTGTCTTACAGTACTAGTTTTAAATTTGCACTTTACACTGGAGGTTTAACTTTACCTTGAGCGTACAGTACATTTACACATTGATGAACTTGATCTGTGTTTCATAACAAACGTCTCTTTCATATTAAAATGTTTTTTTTTTATTTAATTTTTCATATCAAATCTCACCAGCAGAACGAGGTCCTGAGTCAAATTGAACTACTTCATGAACACCGATCATTACAACGTGTCCCCCGGCCCATCTCTGTGTCCCCCCCCCACCACCATACTTTGTCTATAATGAAAGGATTAGCAAAAACTCTCAGTGCAAGCCATTATCTGTCAGACAATAGATTTTGTGAAAGAAAGTTTTGTCTGGGATTCATTAGCAATGACCTCCCTCTGTGGTGTGAATGCAGGACACATTTGGAGCAATTACTTTGGCAGAAAACAACTGTCAGTCATTCTTAAAGGGGAAGGATTCCAATTAATAAACCTCTTAAACTCTTTGCTTCTACGACCAGTGCTCCTGACGCTCTGCTGTCCTGTCTGTGTGTCTGAGGACAGCTTCTCCAGCGGAGAGCAGACGACGCTGCAGGTTGCTGTGCAGGAGCTGGACCGCAGGGCCCGTCTCCACTTGTGTGCAGGGGATTTCAGGGATTTAAAGCGTTAGAGTTAGAAGTACCGGCAGTGGATGATGTTGCTGTTAGTCTTCTTATAGAGACAACATGTGCACATTATTGTCTACGATCGGGACCTCAACGATGGTAAGAATTCTCTAAACACTTGTCTTA